CCATTTCACAGTAACATGTAGTCTGTTAACATTCATATGAATATTCACATTTAAAGACAGATAGATATATGGATAGATAGATAGATAGATAGATAGATAGATAGATAGATATAATATTTCTATAGATCAATTTTTTTTATTATTTTAGTAGAAATTTGGAGGACAGCACCCTGTTCATTAAAATATTCTTAAATATATATATATATATCAATTTTTAATGCTCTATAAATATCTCTAGATGTACAATGTATAATTTTCACCTCAATGCTTGTTTGCTTTTCAAACCACTCAAAGTACTACAGAGGATATCATACCAAAGAAGAAAACAAAGACATAAACGAAAGGCAATCATAATATTTATGAATATTCTGATACTTCACATTTCAAACTCTCAAAATCAGGCCTTACTTTCACACAGAGATGTCAGTTTGATTGACAGGACAAATGACCAACGGGCTTGAGTTGGATCCGTCTTTGTTGGGATGAGGATTGAAGTACGGACGGATGGCTCCATTAAAGCTGCACCGAGTGAATGAGTAAATATGTGACAGAGCCTCCATATCATAGAAGGAGACCATAGCCTCCTCATAATCCACAAACACTCCCAGCTTCCAGGGTTTGGAGGAGAGCTGAAGCAGGACTGGAGGGTCTTCAAAAGCGCCGTACATTTTTTGACCGCAGAGCACGATGGCCCAGTAACCCTCGCTGGGTTTGTAGGACACTTTGCCCTTCCGGTTCGCTCCGTCCCTCATCACCCCCAGCTCCCAGCCCACCTTATTCCCCACCTCCACCACCCAGAAAGCTCTTCCCGACGTGATGCACGGTTTTCCCAGGACTCCTCCGACCAGGCTGAACTGTTGTGGGCTGCCCGGGATGACGTCACTCTCTCCGGTGTCTCGCACCTCTTTACCGTCTGCGGACACCTGTAAGTGCGGATGCGCCGTTTCTGCGTCCAGAGTCACGTTTACTGCGCAAAGACCAGATTCTCAGTTACTGAACGTTTGAGAGATTCGTAAACATGCAACATGCTCAGAAATGTTTCCAACACGTACCTGAGAAGCTGTGGATCCTTCTAATTTCTGAAATAAGAAAAGATAAAATGGCAAACAAATTTACAAATCAAATTTACAAGCACGAGACTGTCTGAACCATAATAAAGATTTCGGATATACACATTGATCCTGTTCAATAACCATATTCATAAACAATGATACTTAAATGTTACTGTAAAGTACATGTCCACCTCTTCTCAACAAAATCTGAAGTGTCATTCGTGCCTGTGCACCTAATTAAGTGCACTTAATTGTATTAAATGTGCACTTTAAATCTTAAAAGTATATTTTAAAATTGTACTTGCAGATAATATAATATAAATGAAATGAAAGGCCACTTAAGTGACTTACAGTAAAGAGAGACACTTTCATGACTATGTTTCTAAACACACTTAAGTACACTTAAAAAGTGTGCTTTGTAATAGTCAAATTAAAAGTTTTACTTTAAAGTACAAATTAAAGTTTTAATAGGAATGCCATTAAAGTATATTTTAGTTTATCATACATGTTTGTCAGCTTGTCAATACTTTAACCATATTTTAAAGACTAAAAGTAATTAGGAAATTACATATAAAGATGTACTTAAGTCATACTTAAGTGGGTCAAAAATACTCAACGAAATTGCATTAAATATAAATTTTAACTACAATACACTGCCATTTAACATTTAAAATATTACATTCAGTTAACACTTAAGTATATCTTTGAAAGTATAGAGTATGTATTTTTCATAAAAAGTACTCTTTCTAAATGTATGCTGAAGTGTATTTATTTTTCATAAGGGCAATCAAACAGTAGTATGAGTTCAAATAAGCTTATCCAAATGCCTAACTCTAATTACATCACAACTCTCAGATATAATCACTCACCGACAGTGCAAAGTTTCTCCAGATGCGTCTCAATCGCCGCCATTAAGGCTGCCTTTGTGTTTCTCATCGTGCCAAAGTTGAACTCAGTGTCAATGGAAACCGTCCAGTCATCTGTGAACTCAGCTGGCACAGCCGGGTAAGACTGAGAAAGGGAAAAACATGCATTTAACATTTATTAAAATTGTTATAATTAAATTATTACATAAAATATTAGTCGATGCATCATGTTTGACTAACCTGGATAAAGAAGACGTCATCTTCCTCACTCTTAGTGTGATGCAAAGTGGCGATGGCCTCCTTGTACTTGAGGATGTCTTTTTGTATTTGTTGTGTCTTCTCATCCATCTCATTCTCCAAACACCTCCTTCCATCCTCCAGAGGAGCGATCAGCACCTGCTCTGTTTCCCTCAGCGCCTCCATCACTGCAGTAAACACCTTCTGTATCTCCTGCTGCTCTTTCTCTAGCAGAGCCTGTGAAGAGTGCACGCATGTTGGACAGAAATGGAAAGCATATTCTTGATCTGGCAAACTCTAATAGGATTGGCTCGCTTTACATCATTTATTTGAGTCTGGATCAGTGTTGTTATTAACTAAATTTAAATCTATTAAAAATATTTTTTTTTATCAATTAGATCAAGCTGAAATAAAATAAAATATAAATCTGTGACAAAAACAAACAAAAAAATGTAAAGGGAAATCAGAAAAGTAGCCTTGGTAACAAACCTATTTATACATACTGCAATAATTATAATTAAATATAACATACTGCTATAAACAAATACTATAATATACCAATTGATATACAAATACTGACAAATACTGCTATAGTTTTATTTTTTTAAATGTTATAGTGTTTTTGTCATATATATTTCTGTCATGACAACTCTCGGAGGGATTGGCATGTAATGTACATGACAATGTTAATGTATTTGGTCTTGGCGGAATAGATCTGCATATATATATATATATATATATATATATATTTATATACACACACAGACATACATAAATTGAATTAAATTTGTTCTGAACAATCATCATCGTAACTGTTTATTAGGTTATTTGGTTACACTTTACTTGAAGGGGTGTGCATAAGACTGACATGACACCTTAATAATCATGACATGACACATGTCACATCATTAAGTGTCATTCGCTCAGTTATGTAATTTTTAATGCAAAGATGACATTGTTTGAGATGTCTTTGTTATGGGCTATGGTTAGGGGTAAGGGTAGGGGTAGGGTTAGGTTAGGGTTAGGTCAAATAATGTCATATTTGCATTAAAAATGACATAACTGAGCGAATTACACTTAATGACAGTTGTCATAAACATGCATAAAACCTCCTTCATATTCATGACGTGTGTCATGTCATGATTATGAAGGTGTCATGTCAGTCTTATGCACACCCCTTCAAGTAAAGTGTTACCAGTTATTTTGGCTGCTTTAAGATCTGCTGAACATGACGTGGATCTGATCATATTTTCTCATAACTCTTTACCTTTTTTGATCCAGTTTCGTTTGCGCTTTAATATATAATGATGCAGGTTACAGCGTGCGCCGCATGTGTGCGTGCAATTGTTGTCAAGAAAAAAAGAGACAGAAGCAGCAGATGTGAGTGGGCTGGCAAACCCTAGCTCCGCCCCTGCGTTAATTGTATTAAATATTTTAACACGTTATACTTAATACAATAAAGATTAATCGTCTGCGTTAACACGCTAATTATGACAGCACTATATATATATATATACAGTGGGGCAAAAAAGTATTTAGTCAGCCACCAATTGTGCAAGTTCTCCCCCTTAAAAAGATGAGAGAGGCCTGTAATTTTCATCATAGGTATACCTCAACTATGAGAGACAAAATGAGAATTTTTTTTCTCATTTTGTCTCTCATAGTTGAGGTATACCTATGATGAAAATTACAGGCCTCTCTCATCTTTTTAAGTGGGAGAACTTGCACAATTGGTGGCTGACTAAATACTTTTTTTCCCCACTGTATATATATACACACGCTGTATATACATACATTAGGCTATATGACAAAAGCACAATAAAATAATTGTAAAATTAAAATGGAAACTATAAAATATATTATGTATAATATATAAAAGGATAAATTAGTCTATGTATGCAACACTGAGGACACATGACCTTATCTGATTTAGAAAGTGTTGTCAATGAACCTTGGTTGAAGCATGTAATGATTTTAATACATGTTTGCATATTTTGTACTGTAGGTACCTGGTATCTTGCAGCTGATTCCTTAAGCTCCTTAAGTTTGTCTTCCCTCTGATTGATCATCCTTTCCATCACCTCAATAGTGTTTTGCTGCACGGCCTGTACAAACACACAAACACACACCAAACTTACTTTGAACTCATACAAAACCAATCAATTCCTATTCAGTGTCAGAAATTAACCAGGCAGAAATTACATCAAAAAACAGTGTGATGGGCTGCTGCGTGAATCTTTGAACCAGGAAGTTATTTACAGAAGAGTGTGCTATTGAGCATTTATTCAAATTCAACTATGAAATATCTGGTTCCACACAATCGGTTCTGACTTTGACTGATGTGGTGAAGATCGGACAAACGGTCTGAAAGAGTTAGAAAAAGTAGTTTCTTGACCTGATGCAAAATGACAGACAGCAAATTGTACGACTTTTGAACAATGTATACTGTTGGATTTTGTAAGATCCAAGGAAGTGAGATTTTTGGTAATTGGACGAAATTCATAAAAGCTATAAGCATTTCTGCTTATACTTACTGCTTATTGCATTGACCCAAAACCTCATAGCTACCTTTGGGGCATGGTGCCAAAGACACATATTAACTGTTGTACCAATATTTCAAATTGTTCATTAAATATAGTATTTTATGACAAAATTAAAAATGGCCGACATCCAACAATCTATATCACTGTACTCCATGTGTCTTAAAGAATCCAAAGATAATGTTTTGACAAACTGCCAAATACCAATTTTTCAGTTTTTTTGCAGCACAATTTGGCACTTTTCCTGAACTCCTCACATACCCTCATGATATGATGGCTATGAAGTATACCAAGTTTCGTCTCAATATGCCAGAGCATTGCAGAGATATAGCCTCAAGTCCACTTTGTCATGCTCGCCATCAAATTTGTTAAAGCATTATATGAGAATGGTTTGAACATGATGTTACTGTAGTTCTAGACTAAATGTCAGCATGCATTTACTCATCTCACTCGCACAAAAATAGATTCAGTATTCCTCAAAATGAATAAAACAGTAAAACGCAAACTCAGAATATGATGCAAACCTGCAATAATTTAATGTTAAATAGCACAGATATTCTTTATGTATTAATCCCATTTTATTAACCAATGTCTTTGCTGCTAACCTGCGATGATCTAATTCAACCATACTATTAAGCAAAAATGACTTTAAATAAATATAAGATTTGTTTTTGTTTTTCTTTGCTGAAGAGTGATCAACTTTCTTCTCCTGCATCCTATTCTTCATGCAAACCAGAGTGGCAACACAGTGTCACGATCTCTAGCAGGAGCGCCCATGAGCTCAATCCCATACCCTTGCCACTCACCCCGGACTCCATTCCCCGTAATACTTTGCCTGGACTCATCAGCACTCATCATCAGTTCACAGCTGTCTCTTGTTAGAAGGACTATAAGGGGCTGTTTACACATGGTCACATCATGTATTTTGTCTGTTCGGATAGCTATCCGATCGTGTAAAAACCAGGTATAAATGCCCTCCGAAACGCATTCGAGACAGATATAAATCCGATCGCTCAAACCACTTCAGGAGGTGGTCTGGGCCGCATTCCAGACAAAACTGGACCAGTGTAAATGCATCTGGTTGTTGAAACCACATATGTAAATTTTACTCCTCCCAAAATGTTAAAATAATAAACGTGTGAGAGCGTGTTATAGGCTATATGACATTATAGTCAGATATGACTGCGCTAATACAACATGCATCGGTGCGGACGAGTAGCAGATGGTCAACACACAATCATCTTCATTAAAAGTAGTAAGACAAACTTATCTTTCCAGTGCTGATGCCGCACACTCTCCTATTGCAGTCTTTGATCTTGAAATGAGCTGATAATTAATCAAATGCAGTGCTTATCTTTTGATTTCATTGATTTCATCCATTATAAATTTAAATATAGCGCAGGAATTGAAGATTGGATTTAAATCCATTTTGCGACGATACATTTATGTGGCCAAGTGTAAATGGAAACGTTTTAACAAATCAGATAGATATCCGATAAGCGAAAACGCATGAAATGGCAGGTGTAAACAGGCCCTATAAGTTGCACACACACACTTCGCTGAGTATTGTATAGCCTGTACGTTTTTGTGGTTTCTGTCTTGCCTTGCCTTTGTGTGTTTGTTCCTTGGACTGTTTACCTGGTTTTTGAGATTGTTCGCTGCCTGCCCTTACCATCGCCTGTTTGTGGATTATCCTTTTGTCTCGCCCTGGATATTGTTGATTGATTGCTGGTGTTTTGACCCTGCCTGTTCTTACTATGCTTCTGAATAAAGTCCACAGATGGATCCCTACTTTGTTGTCACGTCCCCTTTGTTACACACAGCAGAAATATAACTTTTTTAATATTAAAAACAAACAAGCAAGCCCAGCCCTGATGAGAAAAAGTAAAGCAAAAGTACCATAATGCATTTCTTTGGATACCAAAGGGCCTTTCGCACCGCGGGAACCTTTTCATAGTACCAGAACTAATTGGCTGAAGTGCAGGCACTTGTAGCAAATGTAGCACGGCCAGTTGTTGTTGGAGATTTTTAGTCCTCCTTTCAGTTCTTTTAATCGCTTTACGTATACGTCGACTTTCCATGTCCATTATTGTGAAACCCGCGAGACACAACAAAAACACAGCTCCGATCACAGCGTCCTCCATCCTCCTGTTGTTAATGTTGTTCTTCTTTGTTTCTGTTGTTGAACGCCGCGCACAAATGACGTCGCTGTCGACCGGCTTACGTCACTTCTTAGTACACACTCTCGGTGTGAATGCAACCCTTTAAATGGTACTGGGAAATAGTTCGCGCAAAATCGTCCCAGTACTTTAGTACTGTACATTTAGTTCTGGAACTAAAGCGGTGCGAAAGGCCCTAAAGTAACTAAGTATCACAATTTTTTTTTTTTTTTAGGGAGCAAAGCAATATTGTAATGCATTACTTTTAAATGTAATTTTCCCCAACATTGCCTGCCAGAATTAAAAGTGTCCACCCTCAAATCTCTATGATATTCTGGAGCCAGTTGCATAAACTTAGCCACTATGTTAAGACGGTGTCTTAAGAACTAGTTTGACCAACTAGCAGTTAGCCAAGGGGTTAGAAGTCTTATTTTTTGGATTCAAGTTAGACCAAGCTACATTTGTATGCAAGCGTTTCAAAAAAGTTATGACCAGTCTTAAAGAAAAAAAACTAGATGACTAACTTAATAAATAAAGACTAACCTAATTATTTCATGCAACCAGCCCCTGGTGGTCAATAGATCCCGTCTTTTAAGTGGTTTATGTGTTTTGTTATGTGCCAGGTAGGGCACGTTTTACGATTTATGATTTACGATTTAACTTATTGTCAGACAAAGTCTGAAATCTGACTTGCGTTACAGCAGGTTCACTCACAATTGAAAAAAATGATCACATGGATAAGAGACAGACCAGACTTACACAATCACAAGAAAAAGAAAAAAAAAACTTTTCAAGGCTCCGGTACAGATTTAATTTTTGTGTAACTTATTCAGCTCTAGTATAGCTTGGTGTACAAAATAATACTTTAGTCTAATTTGATTATAGATGGCAACAATACACTTTATACATTATACAACACATGATTAGTTTCAGAAACAATATTTTTCGCCAACCTTACAAGATGTCTATGACAGGATAACTCATATTGATTTTGAAGTGGCTGACCCACTATTTTGGAACACATTTTTAGTAAATTAATCAGCTTTGTTTTTACGCTGAGAGATAAACTCCTACACCAAACAGAATTACCGTACTGCAAGACACTCATAATTACAGACATAAAACATAATAAGATAATCTGCTTTCTTGCTCCAAAAGACCTCAGTCGGAGGAGGAAGTAAATGATTTGCATTGATTATTTACAGATACTATCTATATGGTATTTCCATGATAACATGTTATCTATCTTTACTCCTAAGTACTTATATGCGTCTACCTGTTCCGACCTCATGAACAGTTAATGTTCTCCCATTGTGCAATTAAAGTACAGTATGTGCAATAACCTTATACTTATTTATCACCCTAAACCCTAGTACATCCCTACAACTTATTTTATTTTATTATATTCCTATTCCATCTATAGCACACCTGTACATACAATTTATTCTTTTTTTTTTTGTGGTTTATATTTATGCATGTGTATTTTATTCACATCTCACTTTTATTATCTGTGTGTTGTTGTTGTCTCAGTGTACTGGAAGCTTGTGACACTATAACAAATTCCTTGTATGTGCAAACATACTTGGCAATAAAGCTCTTTCTGATTCTGATTCTGATTCTGTCTGATGTTCACTTCATGTATAACAACAGGTGTTGTGCCTGAATAAAATCTCCTCTCTTTTTTCTGATGTTAATACTAAGTGCATTATAATCACACTACTCAGCTAATTTATTTACCCCCTGTTAATGCTGTTCTGAACACTCCTGAGTTATTTAGTAATGATATTAACACAGTATCATCAGAGTACTTTAGAATATATTGGTTAGGCCTATTTGAACGACAGTCATCTGTGTACAACGTGAATAACATAGCAGAGCATACACAGCCCTGAGGTACACCAACATTTGTTTTTACTTCTGTTGACAAAACATCGTTCACTTTAACTCTTTGAGTTCTATTAGTAAGAAAGGAAATGTACCATATAATCAGAAGAGTATTAACTTTGTGTCGAATGCAGAAGAAAAGTCAATAAATAAAGCTCTAGCATAGGCGTTACTTTTATCTAGATGTTTAGAGATTATATGCACTAGAGCAGCCACTCGTCTTCTGTACTGCAGCCTTGTTTATATGCGAACTGACACTCATCAAGTTTTCCTTTAACATTATTCACCAAATATTTAAGTAATATTCTTTCTAAACATTTCAATATTACTGAGGTAAGATCTGTAGGTCTGTAGTCTTTACATTCCTTTGGGCAATATATTTTTGGTACTGGTTTTAACATTGAGGTATTCCACATTACAGGAACAATATGTGAATCAATAGAAGCCTGAAAGACTTGTTGCCACACTGGACCGAGTTCATAGGCGAAGTCCTTTATAAGGCTTGGAGCACACCCATCAGGACGGGCAGCTTTTCTGATGTTAGTAGACTGAAATGCCCTCCTAACATCTTCAATAGTTATCTACTATATAGTACTATATTAGCTAGTTCATAATTACTTGCAGGTTCATATCTTGTAAAAATAAAAAAATATCTGAATTTATGAAAAACAATAGTATGAGCAATGCTTAGAGTGACCCTTGCCTTTGCAAACACCACTGATGATCAGGAAATATAAGCAGAAATCAGACTTACCTTGTCGGAGGTATCAGTTCTGGATTCTTCTCTTCAGTGTTTCATTTCTGTTGCTCTCTCTCCTCCTATTTATGTACAGTAGAGTTTCGTTTCCACACAGTCTCTCTCCATTGTCATTAACTTTCATTCCTGGAAAAATAAACCACTCCCAGATGTCATTCCAGCAGTTTTACATGGATTTTACTTTTGACACGCATGCATTTAGCAAATCAAAAGCAACCACATCATTTATAAGTAACCAATGTCCTCGTTCTCTACATTTGACACGTTTTATTTTTTTATACATAGTTTCGTTTCCACACAGTCTCTCTCCATTGTCATTAACTTTCATTCCTGGAAAAATAAACCACTCCCAGATGTTATACCAGCAGTTTTACATGGATTTGACTTTTGACACACATGCATTTAGCAAATCAAAAGCAACCACATCATTTATAAGTAACCAATGTCCTCGTTCTCTACATTTGACACACGTTTTATTTTTTTATACATTCTCTCTCTCTCTCTCTCTCTCTCTCTCTCTCTCTCTCTCTCGCTATCTCTCTCTCTCACACACACACACACACACTCTCTCTCTCTCTCGCTCTCTTTCTCATGTTTTAAATAGCTTTTTGCAGCAAAAAAACTGTGAGAAAGAACTAGTGAAGAATGCATTGTTCTGTAGTCAAGGTCAGTAGGTCTTGGGAGAGTGAGTAAGATCAAATATTTTCACTTACTTGCGTGTATAAGGAAGGGAAATTATGGGATGCTGAGGAAGACCAGGGTGATGAAGATGAGCCGGAAGTGTGCATGTATGGTAAAAGGAAGCAGGTGGATTTATAATAATTAGGGTTAGGGTTATTATTATAATTATAATTAATAATCTGACATAAGTGAACATCTAGGCATTTTGATTGTGCTTGTTTTGTTATATTGAAACTTGACACCCCAAGTCCTCAGTCACATACAGTATATTAAACGGAAATGAGCATCCGGGGATATCTGTCACCATTTCTCCTTTTTGTTGCACAGAATACTGCTTTGGTATTCAACACAAATATTATGGCTGTGGTGTCAAGATGAACATGTTGTGTAACTTTTGACAGAAAATTGTACCTTAACAGTTTGAAAGCAAAAAGTGAAAATGAAACCAAATGAGCATCTTGCCACAAGCACAAAAGCTTTTGGTGAAATGAAACTAATACGTAGAACGTGCAAATGAGTGATAGAATAAAAGCTGCATTTATAGTGACACTATTCTTTTAATTTTTATTTTGGACAATTTAAAAGGAATTTTTTTAGGATTTTGTTTTTTTTTTTTGCAGCCTCAGATTCCAGATTTTCAAATAGTTGTATCTCGGCCAAATATTGTCCTGTCATAACAAACCATTCATCAATGGAGAGCTTATTTATTCAGCAATACATATTTAGCATGGTATGCTTGGAAAAATGTGTATTTGGTAAAAACCACTGAGCTTGTCCTGAAGCCCTTTTATTGTTAATTCCTGTACTTGGCCGTTGTTGTCCGGTCCAAAATAGCCCTTCCCTGTGTACTGACTGTTCTTCAGACAGCAGGTGGCTCTCCAGTAATACTTTGACACAGTGACTCTATTATACAGTTTAGGGGCTTGCATGTCAGGAACTACACCAGTCACCACATAAGCTGCCTCATCACAGGATTCCAGGTCTTCAATTACAGCTCTCTCATGTTCCAGCCAAGCTACCCGATTGAAACATTTATTCTGCGGAGCCGCGTTGGTCAGTGTGGATGTGGCCAGCATTGACAGATGATTTTTGGTGTGGAGCACAGGATAGAGGTGACCTTTGTCATAGCCAGAGTTCTCATAATCATTATTAACAGCCTGATTAGTGCCAATCTTGCTACCGTAGCCTTTAGGCCGCATACATGGCTCAGGATCTCCATCCAGCTAAAGGGAATGAGAAACAAAAACAACAAAATACCTCAGACTTTTCAAAATAGACATTATTTATTGTTATTTCAAATAACCTTTAAGAAGAATTATGCAACGTCTCCCTGATAGCATACATACATCACGGAGAGTCTATTTGACGTCTGCACTTACATCTGCAAGACATACTTTTTAGCGTGTTTGCTTATCTGCAATACGTCTATAGGACGTTTCCTATCAGATGTCAAATAGACGTTTAGAAGATGTCTTTAAGATGTCTATGATTTAGAATGCATGTAAAACTGACATCTTAGTGACGTCTATCAGATGTTTGTACACAGCAGATGCTTTCCAGATGAAGAGATCTTTAACAGACTTCTTGCAGACGTAGGCTGGGCTGTGTCTCTAGCAGCTTCGGTCGTAATTGCAAAAATATAGACTCAAGTAATGACTTTTTAGACATGTTTCTCAAACATTCCCTCCATTTGCCATGAGCCACACAAACAGATCGTTTTAAGGAATCAAACTATGAATGGATTAATTACAGTTGTCTGCACATTAAACACTACAATATGAGTGTTTTAATATCCAAAAATTGCATGCTCCACCTTTAATATTCTTGATATAATATGAACTTAAACAATATTTACCTGAGGTTCAATGTACCAGACGTCACATCTCCCAATACTTTTGCTTTCACGAAACACATATGCGGAGTAGACGGGGATCTTCCAGGTCGTGCTGTACAAAGTTGCATAAATAAAAATTTGTTTATCATTGTTATCCCAAATACACTGACAGATGGGCTTGACTGAGACGCCCACTGGTGGTGTGAAGTCAGGAGGTGCGGTGTCCAAAAAGAACTCCTTGCATTTACTAAAATTATTATCTACTACTTCACTCAAAGCGAAGAAACACACAGAAGAAAGTAAGAGAAGAAAAACAAGATGTTTCATGGTGAATCTCTGATGGCAATGCCTGAAATTCTCTGTTTGCCTGCAGACAGAAGCGAGTTTGCAGAGAGGAAGTTAATGCCGTGCTTTATATATAGTCTAAGGCAGGGATCGGCAACCCGCGGCTCTTTCGAGAAGGGTCTGGCTGCAGACATGTGCTGCAGTCCAGTTCACTTTTAGACACGCACTCGCAAACTTCCCTAAGCACTTCCCCTCGGGGGAATCCCCGCTGCCATTTTGAAATGCATTCCGCTTCATCAAGTGGACGAGGGAAGTTTACATGGACATACCATCGACCCCTAGATTTTGACCACAATGCACAATGCATGACGTCATCGCAGATCGCATTTAATTTATCCCCACCCCAAACAACTCTCTAATATATATACAGTGGTGTGAAAAAGTGTATATATAGTGTATATATACAGGGTGCGAACTACGGGGGAGCTCGGCTCCCCTTAATAAAACATGGGCTCCCCTGAAAACATGATTTGTGAAATTTTGGGGGGTCTCAAAGAATATTGACAATGTGTTATTTTGACGTGCAATTTCAGTTTTGTGTAATGTGATCATCGTGGATTATTGTGTGTAAAATTGCAAAAATATAATTAATTCATGCATGAAGGCGATTTAAGCCTAATTCACTTCAATAAAGATAACTATACATGCTATTCTTGTCATGAGCATCAAGGTGTGGGGGCGCTGCGGTGCAAATTCCACTCATGTTTAGTACATGTTAACAAAGATTCGTAGAAAAAATATAAACGCTGGACTCTGTGGTCAATTCTGTGTTAAGGTAAGGCATGTTATTCGCAATTATGTGTTGTGGCTGGGTTGTTATAGGTCTGCGTGACTCTCGATGTATTAGGCCTAACTGAACGGAGGAATTATGGTATTCTTCTGTAGCCTGACGACGAGTAACTTTAACCGTTGTTCATGTGAACTCAAAGACAGCCTGATGCTTTGTTTATAGACTATTTGTGGGTGGCTGTTTGTTGTTTCACCGATCAATTTGTGTCGATAAAGTATAATAGGGTAAATCCTGTATAGTGATGTATCCTATGTAGTGCTTGAATAAAGCAAGTAGTGCATACACTTGAAGCTGTTATCTATCTTTGTAAGTCATTGTAAGCCATGAACAAGCTCACAAACACATATTATATGTATATAAAACAGCCCAAGCATATCTATATACATATAAAATGCTGCACCAAACAAATTCGTAAGGGGAAACATGTAAACAATAAACCAACTCCATAGCGGATTCTAATGGCGCTTTTGGAATGGAACGGCACGGCATGGTAACGTTCAGTACAGTTCAGTTTTGGGGTGTTTTCCACTGGGTACAGTACCTGGTACCTGGTACTTTTTTCAGTACCACCTCGGTTGAGGTTCCAAGTAAGCCGTACCGTTACCAAAACGTGACGTGTAAACTTTGCTGATCACTGTTTGGCCGGAAAGAATCGTCACTATCTGCGTCACTGAACTTGCGACACGAACACAACAGAACAGCTAGATTCGAATCAGCACAGCCAGCGAATAATCGAACACAGCTGTTTTGAAAAAGTGCATATTTTTTTAACAACCAAAAAATGGCTGTTTCGTTGTCTGTTGAGGAAGTACAGACGTTCCTCTCGTTGATAGCAGAGGAGCGGATCCAGCGAGAGCTTTATGGGGTGACATGGAATGAAAAAGTTTTTCAGGAGTCGTGGCAGTAGAGGCGGCACAACTATAACGATATGTGAATAATCCCGCCCACTCTAAAACGGTACTGAACTGCAGTGGAAACGCAAACCGAGCCGAGCCGAGTCGTACTACACAGTGGAAAAGCACCATAAGTGATCAAGAGCTTAGGACGTTCCAGTTCAGCCCATTCCAAGGGTCCCGCCAGTAGTGGGCACTCATGCAACGTAATCAATGACGTACATCCAAGTAAACGAGACGGAGGGAAGTTAGCGAGTGAAGGGCATAAAAAAGTGAACTGGAACGCAGCCATGCACTTGCACTCTCAGACACCTGCGCTTCTGCAAGTGATGTCACGTGCATTTTTTTATTTTATTTATTAAATGTATTTAATTAATGAATCTCTCAGAATTTTACAACAGTAGCCAGACAAACAAACAGTAGCCAAACAAAATTGCAATGTCACTTGCAATTACTTCATTATTTAATTTGCGACTTAGGTGCTTTTATAAGTGCTAACTTCACGTGCGGACCAAACGGAGCAGTTATCAGCACAATATGACTGAACACAGTTCTGTTAATTGTGCACGAGCGGCGCGTGAATCACCGTATTATCTAAACAAAGGCACATAAACTAAAAAGACTGATGAAGAGAGGAGAAAACATAATCTTTGCACCAGCACTAACGTATATTAAAATATTTTTAAACTACTCATGACCACTTTTGCCAGAAGAATTTATCACGTTTTATTGTAGACTTATTTATTTTGGTAGATTTTGTTAAACTTGATGTAGAATTTATAATAGATAATCTGTTAAGGGGATAGATGTTTCCCTATAGATTTATATTACAACTGTGGCATGTTGTTTTTAAATGTGCAGGCTGTTGTTTTTCATAACAAATGCTATATAGATTAATAATAATAATAAAAAAATTGTTGCCCTGCTACTGAATAAAAGACTAGCCTTATTATAACAAATGC